CTTTGCCAACTCTCGCCACCCTCCGCCCCCTCCTCTTTGCTCCCCACGACCAGCCCCCCTACCCCGCCGATCAAGCCACTGGTTTTTGTGTACTATTGGTCCTCAGGCGTCAAAACAATCCAGCGGGGCTGCCTGACTTGTTTTAATTAGGCAGCACTGAAACGGCAACTGTCTCTCAGACGTGACCAGGCAGAGGTGCTCTCCCCTCGCACTACTGTAAATACCGCTGTAAATACTTCTCTGGTGATGTCTTTGACAGTAAGCGTCAGCTAGTTACTCTACTTTTTTTTCTTCCTTTTTTGCCTCCACTTTCCTGCCGTCTGTTTTCCGCTACTGGCATTTTCCCCTTCTCTTCATTTTTGATGCACCGTAATGCTCTCAGGTTTCTGAGAATACTTCTTCAAATGCTTCTTACCAGGGAGAGTGGATTTCTCAGTCATTGTTTAAAAGGTAGGTCATTTTATCTGCCTCTTTTGGACTATGTAGGACTTAGTTTTGTGTTAACGTAGCAGTGCTTCGTGATGTCGTGTAACTTGGAAATACACGGCTGTGATATGGCTTAATTGTTTTTAAGTGCCCCGTGCACGGTATGGAGGCTACCGACTGCCGCTGAGCCCTTCACTAATCCCATTCAGACTCTTTGAATCCACACACACACACACACACACACACTTTGACATGCACACAATCGGAGCTGAAAGGAAAAGCACTAGTATAAAGCCAGACACACATACCTTTGCGGCGAGTGCACCTCTCTCTTCTCGTACTTCTGTCCCCCTCTTGTCTCAGCAATGCCGACTACACAGAGCAAAGGAGAGAGCAGGTCCGGCAGGTTGTGCGCAAGAGGGATAGTGTGTGTGCACTTGCACGAGGGAGAGAGAAAGAGAGAGACAGAGAGCGTGTGCTCAGAGAAGCAGATGTGCGATTAGAGCGAGAGCAGCGCGAGCCTCCCTGGTAAGCATGCAGGCGAGATGCAAGGGGAGAGCCGGCGAACATCCTGTGACGAGTCACAGCAGTCCCCGTGTGAAGATCCCCACACACTCTCACATACACACACTCTCTCAGTCATACACAGGACCCACCCACACGCAGAGTACCTGCACACACACACACACACACTTAGACATTTGCACACGGATGCACATGCTTTATTGCTACTTTTTAGAAGTAGCTGAGATAAATAAAAAAAACTCATCTCAGATTTATTTTCTAAAAATGCACCAAAAGCAAAGCTTTACCTAGTAATTGCGGTATTGCTCATTTCCACTAAACTGGTGAATGAAATGATTAAGTGGTGTTTTCCTGTAATTGCAAAATTTCATTATCTTCAGACTTAAAAAAATGATGGTCTAATTATATCCAGTGCGGAGAGAGAAAGAAGCCACCGTCTCTCTGTCATAAATTTCCATTTTGTACACTACACCCCCTCACCCACACCCACACCTCCCTCCTTCCACACACACACATGCGCGCACACACGCATACACACGCCCTCCGCTGTCCCTCTCCCATTCTTTTCCTTCTCTCCCCCAACTCAAGCCTCCTCTTTCGGGCCTGCATGTCCGACCTGCACAAGGGCCCCCCGATCGGTAATTGCCCCGGTGACAACTGGAAATGATAGAATAATTGTCAGGAGAGGCGTCTGGGCTTTCTCTTTTTTTCCCCCTCTTTTTTTCTTTTTTTTTTTAATGGGGCGAGTGTGATTTAAGTATGCATGAATGGTACAGTGGTGGTGAGGTGGCAAGAGAGGGAGAGGAGAGGAAAGGAGAAGGGGGGAACTGGGGCGGGGGCTGTGTGGCGGGTGGCGAGAAGTGTAGGGGGGGTTGGTGGTGGGGGGTGGCTTGTTTATGATGCCATCCCCCATAAACACGGCTAAAGTGATGACACAGATAGTGTTGCCTCTTCACACGGTGACACCAGTCGACTTGGGGCCGTTGCAGCTAGACACCCTCGGCGGTGGCAGAGCCAAGTACTCTGTTCCTCAGTCAAGCTCTCTGGCACTTCTCACCTTCAGGTAAAAAAAAGAAGAAAAAAAAGTCAGGCAGACTGTCCATCCATCTATTTATCCATCAATCCATCCATCATTCATCCAGCCATCAATCCTCTGTCACCCATAGTCGACTTCAGGCTCTTGGCTGTGTTTAATGGTTGTATTTTATTGCCGGGCTGTGTCTCCTGCCTTCCCCGTTGGTCGTCCCACTGTGTAACCGTTCAGCCTTGGTCTGCGGGCTCTGTTAATCTGCTGCTTAATTAGTGTTGATGAATGGCTTAGTGTGTATGGCTGTGTGTGTGTGTGTGTGTCTATGTGCATGCGTACAAGTGAGCACGTGTGTGCTGGTTTTGGCTTTGTGTGTGTGTGTGTGTGTTTGAATGAATTCGTGTGTGTGTGTGCATGAACTTGCTGTGGTATTTTCTGCTCTTGTACTATTTGGATAGTGTGTATGTGTGAGTATGTGTGTTTTTCAGATGTTGCTACTCGCTTGCTAAGCTAATCATTGATCATTAAAATCAAGAGGACAGTGATGCACCACTATGATTAAGCCGAATAAAAGGGCACAGCCACTCAATAACCTTTCATAAGCTAATAACAATCAAATATTAATCAGCTGCAGATATGTGTTCTGAGAGGGCAAAGCTGTTACTTGAAGTTTGACTTATTTGTTTTTCTCCCATCTCTTTGCGTGTGGAGGGGGAAAAAATCCCAAACTCTTTGGAGCAGACGTTTAGTTTGAAGAGGAGAGAGGTCACAAGACTGATAATTGGTGAAGCACTAATTATCTTTATCAAAGGCGAGTGGGATCATTTGTTTACTTAAATATTGATGAGGGTGAGCAAGGCATGGTATTGGGCTATTGTGGGCATATTATTAACATTTTATAGGGCTTTGTGCAGGAATGTGAAAGGGACTCCTCTTCATAATTTAATACCCTAATGCATAATGAGCTATGTGATTAGTTCACATGGAGAATTGGCCAAACTCCATTTTGAAGGCAGATAATTTACATTGTTCTCTAGAGTCTGGCATATAATAGGTTCTTTAGCGCAATAAAATTAAATGCTACACATTTTATATTTCAGCTTACAAATCCCCCTGGCAGTATTCAGTTTTAAGTCTTCTTTTTCTGTTTTCTTCTATTCCTCCCCAAAAAAGAAATAAAAAGTGGGGAAGTGAAATTTAAAATTGTTAGACTAAAACACATGTTTACCTACATGTTTTATTTAGAATGCACACTCACCAATTAACACTGTTCATTAGCAGAGCTGCGTTATTTGTTTTGAAAGTTTAACCAATCACTTTGTTATGCTAATTGTGATGTAATTTAATTTGAGTTCCCGTAATGATGATGCCGCTATTATCCACATAAATGATGCAGTTAAGCAGCACGGCCTCATTTGCATGTGCTTGAAGGGAGAGAGGCTGAAAGGAGCCGGCTCCCGTATCACTCCGCTTTAATTTTCCACCTCTGTTCACTGCTGCCCTTTGGGTCTTCCTGGCCTGTCACCGGCTATTGATGATCAGCACTTTTATCTGATTATTATTTTTTATTTTATTATTTTTTTTAATGACAAAGTGGCCTTTTATTTGCCTGCTAACAGATTTCTATGACTACAATCTGGGGAGATTAAGCGATCGAAATACGAGGCATTTACAAAATGCGGATGAAAATTTCCCTGCTGATTGTATTAAACATTAAGGTAACAGTTGATTTGCGTGCGCACACCTGCATGGATGCCTTACTTTTCATTTTCAGTGTCTCTGTTTTGGCTGTTGGGGGGGGGG